GCGTTCCTATGAGTAGATTATCCTCTGCAATTATCTGAATTTTTATACCCATAGTTTGATGTAGTTGACTATTGATTAAATTGTTTTTACTAATTTAAAATTTATTTACAAAACTAAGTAACTTACTGATCAATCATATAAACCGCCTAAAAACAAATTTTTCATTGTTCGATACCGATATCTCAAAAGAAATGTCTAAAGTATTGAGCTTTTTAATTAAAAAGTCGTAAATACGATCGAAAAAAGTTGAATTGGACTTCATTTTATTCTTGAAGAATGGATTCAATTAGACTTTTGACATTATCTCTCTAGTAATAAAACCAAATGGAGGACTAGAGATTGAACCCCGACATGAGCAAACACTTGACATTATCACTATATCTCTGGTCTAGTTTGCTTGTTTAAACTACGTGATATTTTGATAAAGAGAGCTTCTTCTAGTCTAATATGGACTGTTATTATATTTCTAATACGCAAAATGAAAATCTTCCACAAAGTCAATCCAATTACACATTATTATTATGCATTGTTAAATACATAAACTTCATTGTTCGAGAAGTATCAACCCTAATGTTCAGGTAAATGATGGAGCTTTGCAAATACAAGCAAATACCCCGCTTGTTATGCTTCAAAATGCATACGAACTAAAACACAAACATGTTTTATATGATTGAAACTAATCATGATTGAAGCTTAGAGTCAGTTTTTTTGCTTTTTTTCATATATTATGTTCCCATCAAAATTATCGATAATTTTCTTAGCAAAATTTGAGAGAATTTTTTTTTATAAAGGAAAATCAAGTTCCAACCATGAAAATTAACAAAATAATTTATTATATTGGAAGTAAAATGTTTGTCCAAAACTAGCTCTTCATTTTTTTAAGACCAATATCATAACTCATTACACACACTATCCTATCATTCAATTATTTTTGTATCTCAAACCAAACTCATCATTAGAAAATTTTCAGCTCTCTCTCTCTCTGTCGTTGATAGAATTATGTATTCAGAAAGAAAATGGAATTGTTTGTATTACAATATGTTTTACTCAAATTTTGTGCTCCTTCCATTATAAATGATTTACCAAATGAATGTAATCAATATCGTCTCAGTCGTTTCCATCAAGAGAGAATGTCTTGAAAAGTTTAATACAACTATTGAACAGCTCAAAAAGATATAACATTATTATTTAGTACAAACATGTATCGTCTAAAGCTGAATATGTGCATATAATTATCATTTGTTTTCGATTCGATGCACACATCTATAATTTTTGTATTTAATCTCGTTCTTCAAAGTACAGGAGTCTTAGGCGAACGTCAATAGAAAATTGGATTAAAGAAACAATAAACGTGCACATTTTTGACATCATTGCGAACGTATACATTGTCTTTTTCATATCCTGATTATTATTCTCTCTACTCATATGTAAATATTGTTTATCAATCGATAGTTTATGATATTTTTTTGTTTTTCTCTCTCTCTTGGATTTGTATTGTTTTTGTATACAACAGTCAAATATAATTTGATGAAATAATACGTTGGCATGTCTTTTTGAATTTGTTTCTGTCATGCCTTTTAACGAGAGAAAGAAAAATGACTAATCATATAGGATATACTATGTATATGAATACAATGAAATTGTCACAATATGTACAACAAACAACACAATGATGCACTTTTTGTCTTCGGTTTTACTCGTTATTTTCCTCCTCACGACCTTTTCGACTTTGAATTTAGTTTCGGCTTCCTGCAAGGACGATTCAATATGCTGAGTTTTGGATACAAAAACTTATGTATGCCCCCAAGGAAAAGGACCATCATATGCAATGCCAATATATATTGATGGACATTGTGGTCAAATTACTGCGTGCAGTCTACCCTCTACGGAAATTGTATCACACGTGGTAATTGTAACGTGAACAGATTGTGTGCAAGATGCAGAGAACATATAGTACCGTCTTGTAGTAGAGCATTATGTCTCAATGGAAAAAGTGCTCTGATTCAACGGTGCTCTATTAGACGCCATGATTGATTATTTAAGTATCAATAAATTTTATTTATTCTGGAAGTTTCGAAAACTTTGTCTTAACCTTTTTTGGGCATCTAGTCAAACTCTATTTTGATGCACGTCAGCTTCTGGCAAAAAAAAAGAAAATCTAATCAGTCATGATGCTCACAACTATAGAAATTCAGAAACGATTGAACATTCTATCAGTTGTGGACGAATTTGTTGTCCTTGTACTGCAATGTTGTCTGCTTTTTTTTACAATTGATATTGTAATGCATGTAAGAAAACAGAGCGGGAAAATGACACTTCGTCTCACCTCTTCATTACGAACTTCGGTAGCAGTAGTTCGTTACGACCTCCGGACATAAGAAAAAAGACCGGCTGTTCGGGATGGATCTCTCAATTGCAAAAGTCAATAAAATATAGCAAAAACCAGGATGTTCGGAATGAGATCTGTGCAGGACTTCGTAACGAACTCTGACAACCCATTAACGATGATTGAAGAGATAAAATTTGACTGAAGATCGAAATGAGAAAGTCCGGAAGTTCATAACGGCAAAGGCAGGAGAATCGTAATAAAAATGACAGGATGTTCGTAACTATGTTGATATTTGCTCACTTTTCAGAGATTGTAAAGTAACAAGCTTGTTTTACAGTCTATGGTAGAGGATGAAGAGCGTTTTGATAAATGTAACCAATCAAGATTGCTTTTAATTTTCTTATTCTATCTCTAATTGAAAAAAACGAAATATTTTCTCTTCACTTTTATCCTTTACGATCTTTCTGTAAATTCTCTTAAGAACTTCCTGTTAATGCCGTTCCGTTCTTCCGGTCTTTTTACGTAAAAATACCGTAAAACATACATTCCGAACATCCGACACTGTTCATTATGATCCCCAGTCATTATATAACATTGCCAAGAAATATTGTATTTTGAACACCCGGTCACATCATTCCGATTTCCCTACTTTCCTGTTACGATCTCCTGTACGACAATGTTTACGAGCTCCCGTCATAAATTTTTAGGGATAAAAATTCATTTCCAAACATCCGGTTACAAGTCTGGAGTTCGGAATGGCCTGAGACGAAACGTCCTTCACCCAATAGAGCCAGTCTAAAATCGAATTACGTGTCAATTTTTTTCTAGAAATGAACAGACATTCTTATGATAGCCTTAGCTAGCAAGTTAGTTGTCAGAAATGATAAATGTAATGCACAAATTGTTGATAAAATCGGCTAAGTATAATCAAGAATATGCAATCTTGAGAATTGAAAAATCGAATATATGTATTTTGTTGAGAGTAATCAGACTGTTCAAATGTTGTCTTGAAATAATTGACCGATAATTGAAACTACTATTAAACAATCATAATATCTTACACAATGTTTGCTTAAATATTAAGCCAAACGAGACAAAATGATATCAGATTGATCTCACTCAATTCAATTACTAATGCCATCTACTTAGTAACTATTATTCTGCTTGTCAATGATAATCTGGTTTTAGGCGAAACCAAATGAAAGTAAAAGCTCCAGGAAGAAAACATAAGTAGAGAAAAAAATAATGTTTTTCTTTGATCTTTCTATTGTCGAAAAAGAAATCGTTCAATTATCATCTTCATATTGTATTATAAGAATAATAGCTCAGTTAATTCGTTTTAAAAGCGAAATAATTATTGAAATAAAGTTTGAGTTACAAGAATTTTATTTTTCGTTTTCTATCGTATTCAATTCAATAATATTACAAATAAAGATTCATGTCAAAATTTCTTGCATGATACTCAAATAATCTAATTACTCTATATTAACTTCAAATTATCAAATAATTATTCATTCGGTTACGCAGAATGGCATTCCATTGTTTATAAGTATAAAGTGAAAGTAGATCAAAAGTTGCGTTTTTCGCTATTCGAGAGCAGCATATTCATTTTATGACTGAGCGGAAAATCAAATATATAGCAGCTACTAAGGAGAACTTGTAGGGATTGCATATAAAATACAACATGTGTATTAATATATGTTGAACGAAAGTCAGAATAAAATATCTAAATGAAACAATAAATAGATAAAAAAAAACTTTAAATTGTTGTTTATTGTGACTTATTAATAATAACAAAATAATGTTTCCCAAAATGAAGCTAAATAAATAAATAATAATAATAATTAAATTTGGACGAGTTGAAACCAAAAGAAAGAGAAACAGCTCAATTCAAATATAAAATTTGACTACTTAAGAAAAATAAATAAAAAAGTACAGCCCAACGAATAATATATAAATATATTTATCTGGTTGACAGAGTAAAATATATGATGTTGAACGAAAACGAAATATCTAAAAGAAACAATAAGTTTTAAAAAAAGTTTGAATTGTTGGTCATCGTGACTTATCAATGGTAAGTTCGACAAATTATATTTTAAAAGAGGGAGCTAATTTTTTTCTCAATCAGGAGTTCGTACTTACTGTTTACTTTGTTTACTATATAAATAAGTTCACCTCAGTTACACAATTATCATTACTATCGATAATAATTTTAATGACGTTATAAAAATATCAACAGTGAAGCACTTATTTGTCTAAACAAAAAACACTTTGTGAATTTTCACCAAAGTGTTAATTAAGACGCTTGTCATGTCTAAATTATGTCTAAACTATACTTTAGACGGATGCACTGTCTTGTAAGACGCATGGCATTTTTTAGAGTGTTGAATCTTATTGGTCCGCCATTACCACTTGAAAGTAGCCTCTATTCATTTCACACTATTTCCCATTGTTTCGGAAGATTCTCTTGGACGGAACGTACATAACATAAATGTTTGTTTTCTTTATTTCGATTCGACAAAAACAGACAACAAAAAATTAAATACGAGTTAACTTTTGTTTTAGATGAATTATTGATCATAATTGCGAATTTCTTCGTCTGATGGCTGACGTTATCGAAAAACAAAAATTTTCATCGGAATATCATCTAAGTGATGAACTAAGCAAGATCATGAGTGAAACAACGAAAGAGCTGTTAAATCATTTATATGAACACTCTTGTGGTTTACATAATGAAAACATTCATGCTGAACTGGATTGTTTTGTGAAACAATTAGACTCTGATATTAGTCGTCGATACTCAAGTCAAGCATCAGATAAATTAAGTAATCAAATAGAAGATTGTCGAAAACGTGCAAAAGCGACAGTACAACAGTACAAACTTTATTTGAACGAAGATTTATCTCATCATCAATTGGAATTATGCTTTGATAGTTTGATGCTAGATATTGATAACATATTTACTCACATGTTATCTATTTTTATTAGCATGAATGTAAGTGTACTTTTTTTTTCTAAAGAAGTTTTAATTTTTTTTTTATACCACTAGGAAGAAATTGATGTTCTCCGAAAACAGGTTTCTGAACTAGTAACAGAAACTGGTTGTTTTAAAGAAAAAATAAGCAATTTAGAAAAGCGTCAAATAAGTAATGATCGACAAATTTTTATTCGCGAGCTTTTCAGCCATGCAAGAACAATTTTGATTGCATTATTACGTAAGGCAAAATTACCGGTTTGTTATGTTAACGCTATTTATGATACAAAGATTGATATTCAACATTGGAACCAAACAAATTCGTTTTTAGCACATGCAATAAAAATGGTAGCTAACAAATTCGGTTTAACTGTAGCTGAATTACTTGGATACTTGCGTAGTAAACGAAATTCTAATTCAACATTTCATTGTAATAATGAAATGCAAGACTATGCTAGAAAGCACGTTACTGACCGAGATTATGATCTACGAAAATTTCTGGAAGAAGAGGAACTTTTCGTTGATTTAAATGTACTGGAATTGAAAACGCTACAAACCGTTTTTGAAAAAGTATGCCAAATATACAATGATGATAGGTAGGCAGATTATTCACTTTTCTTTAACGGTACACAGTGCGATGATTGTTTTTCATTTAAATGTTTATGTAATTTAGTTGGTTTTGTATTTTTAGTGCTGAAGACAACACACAACATTTACAAATCAATGATCACGTCAAGGTGATATATGAGGATGGAATGGTAATACTAGAATCTCTTGCGTATTGTTATAGTCATTAATTATTTTATTTAGCTATACAATGCGACATTAATTCGCTTTGATAAAAAAACAAACAAGTACAAAATCCATTATGAAAATCGACAATATGGATATGATTGGATTATAGCTGAACGCATACTAAAAATATAATGCTCATGATCTGATGTTAAACACTATTTTATGATGAAGTCATTTTTTTTTTTAAATAAACATTAGAAGAACAAAAGATAATTGTTATTGTTATTATCGGCGTCTACGGACATAATAAACATGCTTACTCAAAAAGAAAAAAACAAACAAAAAAGTTGTTATTGTGTGATCTAGTAATAATACATATTCTGGTTGTGACTAGGGGTAGCACTTTAACTTTACTTTAAAAGTTAAAATAAAACACTTTAAACTTTAATTAAAGTAGTACACTTTAAAACTTTAACTTTAAAAAAGGTCAAGATTTAAGTTCACCTATTGACAGAGCACTTGATAATCATTCTTGATTTTTATCATACTAGCATCTTTGCATCTCAAAGAAATTAATTTTAAAAAAATACAACGAAAACGAATTGAATAAAGATGTAACTATACCTTTTTTAAAATGTAGCATGTGAATATAATCTGATTCATTTGTAGTTATGCGATGCGATACTTGAGCTTTGCTTTTCACAAAATATCGAAAAACAAACTTTATGATTTTGATTTCTCTATTAGAAAAACCAATTTATGAGAGAACGATCGAGCAGCTCCTTCATCCGAGCTCGACGATAAGTGCACGTTTCAAGTAATATCTAAACTAACAATACTAGATAGTTTTAGTTTTCTTTAGTTATTTATGTATATCTATTTATTTTCGAATTGAAATGAACCAGTTGAGACTGTTTTTATAATCGAATTGTAACTAGACATCTCATGAACTAATTCACTAAAATTAAGATATTTTAAGAACTTGATTTAAGCAATGGTAACTTTCTTTATTTTTATTTCCTTTATCTTGAGTCATATTTTATAATTTCATCACCATAAGAATATACAAATAAAAATTACAAAAATTATAATTTTTAATAAGATTTTTCTTTCTGAACTTCATGTAGAATCAAACAAATATTGTATCCGACTCTTTTGTATAGTAGAATTCCATAAAATATCAATTTTGTTTTGAAATAAAACATCTCATATGACTATATATAGAGGTGTAAGCCATGCGGCTGAGCCGCCACCGCCGCCGATCTTTTCTGAAAAAATACAGCCGTCACCGCCGTGGAGACGAAAATTTTTAGAATTTCTAAGCCGCCGCCGCTGAGCCACAGCATGTGCAGCCGCTGCGCCGCCGTTAGTAAGAAAAATTTTTGAAACTTTGAGCCGCCGCCGAAATCTGAATGCGAAAATCGCTTTTTTTTATCTATTTTCATTTATTTTTGAATCGCTAAATTTCTTCTTGACTTTTTCGGTTGTTTATATCAACGAAACATTAGTACTTTGTATCCGTAACAATAGAAGTGTAAAGCACTTTTATTAATATTGGTGGTTTGAGTTTGATGTGCATCTGAATCTATTACCAGACATAACGAGTTTTCATAATTTTAATAAAAGTCTTTTTATTCTGCTAAAGCCACTGAATGTACTAAAACGATAATCGATAGTTTGTTTGCTATTTGCGTCACATGTACAAAAGAGCGAATGAAATGTTATATATTCAACAAGTTTATTGCAAAATTTGCATCGATAAGTGAAAATCTGAACAAATATATGATAGTTCATCCTCAATCAAAAAAGACGTAGCGTTTACAATGATGAATGAGGCACAGGCAATATGATACTTCCCTTATTGGCAATACATAAAGTGATAGAAACTCAGTAAACCAAACCAACAAATTAGTATATACCCTCCCCCTCTTCTTCAAGTCACTATACAAAAAAAGCTGCAGAATTAAAACAACAGCTCGGACATGAATCAAAATTAATGTTTTGTAGAGATAGTCTTTCAGACTATCATTCAAAACTGAAGCGGGCAAGCTTTTTGACATCTTGACATACATCAATTAAGTCTGTCTTTCCTTGGAATCACTAGATCTCTTAATTCGGGCAAACCTGAGTAGTAATTTATGACTCATCTCCATATTGTCTACATGTTATGCCTTGATTAAACTAACGTGCGAAATACAATTATTTCATTTAGGTTTTTCAAATTATTAGTAATCAGATATTGAAATAAACAGATATTTCTTACCATCGAAAGAATTATTCAATTTCGAAATTGCAAGCCGCCGCCGTATCAGTAAAGACTCTAAGCCGCCGCCGCCGTGAGCATTAAAAAAAATTATTTTTTACAGCCGCCGCCGCTGAGGAGTCTACAGACTCAAATCAGCAGCCGCCGAAGATTTGGAAAAATTAAAAAAATTTTAGCGCCGCCGCCGATCGACCTGTCGGCTTACACCTCTAACTATATACGTTTGATTATATAGCCGTTTTTCATTCAAATTGAACTTAATGGAGTTCAATATAAATCAGTTTTTTTTATAGTTAATTTGAAATAAATCAAAGTAAAAGAGAAAAATTTAACTAATCTTTATTATATTTTCTTTAGTTGAAAGAACAAAAAAAAAGACATTATTGTTATTTATTCGTTTATAAGAGTAATGTACACCGACGTTGATCTTGAATCTTTCCTGTTGGTGTGACAGTGTTAAAAACAGCTGATATACGATTATTTATTTGTGATGTGTTGTCACGAAGATAATCCATAAATGATCTTTTTATAGGTCGAACTAAAACATGAACATTGTCATCATCAAGTGGTACATGAGCAATAAAATGATATTGATTAACAATATTTAGCCATAAATGATCACCAGAAACAATACCTGATAATTCTTTTATTTCATTTTCACCTGAAATACAAACAACTAATACATTATTTAATTCTTGTTTTTGTATCAACAAGCATATCCATCTAAATAAATAAATTATTTTCAATAGAAGAAAAGAAATATTTTTTTTTATACTTTAACTTCAAATAAATGTCGAGCATTAACAAAATTAACACGTTTATTGCCTTTTTCATGTAAATATCCATAAGAAAAATAAATTGAAAGAGCTTCAAATAAATGATTCGATACAGTATCTAATTTAAGAAATGATCAAATTCTTTATATTTTTATTTATTGAAATAGTTGTAAAGCAATAAAATAGCTCTATTACCTTGAGCAAATTGTGATGTAATTGCTGATCCATTAACAACGCCAATTAATGAATGTTCTTGTTTAAAATCAGTTATTTGTTGAGCTAAATCAATAGCAACACGTTTTTGAGCTTCACGAGTACTTACACCTAAATGAGGACTAGATTGACCAGAATTAAGAGCATTAAGAAGAGCTTTTTCATCGATTATTCCACTACGAGCAACATTTATTAATTTAACACCTCGTTTACATAACGATAAAACTTCATCATTGATTAAATCTATTGAAAGAAAAATGGAAAACAAAAAAAAAAAATACTATTAGAATAATTCTCAATTATTTACAATGAGTTCCTTCAATAAATGGAACATGACCTGTTATATAATGAGCTAATGGTCATCAGACGTTTAATTCAAAAAATTCTACATCAAATGTTAAACATTGTTCAGCAGTTAATAATTGATCATAACCAATAGTCTTTATTAAAAATAGATAAATAAAAATTATTTTTATTACAAAAGAAATCAATAACCTTCATGCTAAATGATTGCATTCATTTAGCTACTTCTCGTCCAATTTTTCCTAATCCTATAATAGCAAGAGTTTTTCTATTTAATTCTTCACCCATGCACCTGACTTTAATGAAGCACAAGCGCTTGGAATAGATCTTTATTGAAAAAAAACTGCTTTGTATTTTTTTCTTTTTTTTATATCTTACCTAGCAAAAGAACGAATTAAAGTACATGTAGTGCTCCACAGCTGAAAGTGTATTTCCACCAGGTGTACTTTAGAAAAGTAAAATAGATGATTTAAAAATATTTGAATTACTATTAATAATAACAAACTTCATAACTAAGATTCCATGACGTGTTGCTGCTTCAGTATCAATACTATCTGCTCCTGTACCGACTCGTCCGATTAATTTTAAACGTGGCGATGCTTTGATCACTGCATTTGTTACTTTTGTTGCAATTCGAACAATTAAAATATCTAATTCCTATAAATAATATTAATACTTGAACTTTTTTAATCAATTGTTCTTGAGATTGTTTAGCTAATTTAATATCTTTTTCTACTGAAAATCCATTAGCTATTAACATATCAACACATTGAGAATCAACATCGTTGGTAATTAAAACACGGTTCATATCATCATAGGGGTCCATTTTTCGAATCTAAAAAAAGAAAAATTTGAAATTTTATTCTAGAAATTTTTCATATATATATAGTATATGCAGTTAAAGTACATTTCTCAATATTCGCTTTGGTTTAATCAGCGAGTAATAGTCAGCCGACAGAGCGAAAAAAGCATAACGTTTTAAGTGAATCAATATCAAATGCACTATGTGTGGCGATCTCTTAAAAAATTAAATGGGCCGAGACTTTGATGAATACTAGTAGATAGAAAACAAAATTCTCTATCAAACTGTGTTTTTACTTCTTTTCAGAATAGTGATTATAACCGAGAAATATTCGATACAATCTGTTCAATCCAAACAGATATAAAATATTACAAATATTACCATTATACCGTATTCTTATTGGTCGTCGAGTTTCATTGCTCAGTATTAGTCTACTTAATCAATAATTTTCTCGAGAAAAAAAAAATAGGCCGAAAAATCTGACTTCATGAGATGATTTGTCTTTTGCCAAGCTACTATTTGACATAAAGTAGTCCCTCTGAAAAAGTGATCGGAGTATTTCAGAAATTAGCGCCACTAAGTGCATAAGTGTATTCGCCATTTGATATTGATTTGATGTTTTTTTTCGATTTGTCTGTAGACTATATTCATTTCATCAGTCTCAGTAGATCAATTATGTTTTATTTCTATTTTCTATTGTGCATCATTTATCGATTTCTTTTTCGATTTATATCTATGATAGAGTGACATACGCAACTCACGAAGAAGCCACGCATACTACATAGTATGCAATTTTATCTCTGCGTACATTAACCCTGTTATCTTTTAAATGACATTTTGCTTTTTCGACTCTTCGTGATACATTAAACATGCCTACAATATCATATTGTTATCAATCTTAAACGATAAAATAATCGATTAGAATATCAACTTTTCTTTTATTACTAACTAGTAATTTAAATTTTGAAATGATAAAAGGAAAATTTGTTTATTGTTTTAACAAATGAAAATTAAGAATAAAATTCTCTTTTGATTTTAGAACAAAATGCTCATATTTTTATCTTATTTGTTAATGTTAATTAGTAAATTAGTATTCACAAGATCAGTTAATTTATCGTTTTGTTTAAAATTATTCACTTCTCTTTCTTACAAAATTTATTTTTCGCTCTAATCGATAATAATCTAACAAGAATGAAGTTTGACTCATTTAATATATTCATTTTTGGATACAAATGAACGTTTGATATTCTTTTCTTTTCTATTTACATTTATCATGTGATTGAAACTATTATTAATTCAAATCAAATAATATATATATATATATATTTATTATAAAGACTTTTCAAAGGAAGTTATCTTGATAAAAAAAATGTATGAGAAATTTGAATTTCGTAGCATTGATATTAAAAGATGAATAAACTATTTGGAAATAACTTGATTAATCTATTCTTATTTATGTCTAAAATCTAATGAAAATAATTTTTATTTTAAAAATAAGTTATTTTACATTACTACAGATTCACTAAGTTTTATCATTTTATTAAGAATGAATGATGGAGCATGGAACGATTTTTTAATTATAATTAGAAATATTTTAATAAAATGATTTAAAATTCTAGTGACATACATATTGAATATCAAAAATTGAATTAATAATTATGTACGAAAATTCTTATAGAATAATTTCATTTTAATTATTTAATTGATTTATTTTACAAAAGACAGTAGAATTGTTTTATTTGTTCTCGATTTATATAAACTAAAACTTTTAAATAAAATAATATTGATAATGATCATCTAGAATTTGTTACAATCACCGAATACTATATTCATATATAATTCTTCTTTTATGAAAATAATTATTTGTTCTTCATTGAATTTTTCTTAAATGATATTTTTGTTAATTCTCAATTCTTTTAATTGATAGTTTAATTAAAGAAAAATTTTCTTCAAAAATGATCATAATATGAAGTATTTTATAGGATTTCTCTTAATTAATAAATGTTTATGTGACTTTAAAATATAATCTGATTATTTAAAAGATCAATAAAATATGTTCTTGTGTTTTAAGTAAACCCTTTTTGTTCACTCTATTGGCATTCATATCATAATAATTAATGATATACAGGGTGGCCCATAAATAACACGGCGATAAGAAATTCGAATATCTCCATTACGGCTCGAGCAAACGTGCTGATTTTTTTACCAGTGATAGAGGCATGTACCAAGTTTATATCCATAAAGTCATGGCCAGGGAGATCATTTGCTAAGTATCACTATTGACCTCAACAAGAAAAATTTACTTTTTCACAGTTAGAAGAAAACGTCACTTTATCGAAAACAATTGAATATCTCTGCTACGGCTCGAGCTAACGAGCTGATTCTTTTATCAATGATAGAGCCACGTTCAAGCTTTATATTCATAAAGACATGCCTAGAGAGATCCTTTATTAAGTATACTAGAGTTTTTTCTATCTGTGAAAAAGTGAAATTCTTCTTGTTGAGGTCAGTAGTGATACTTAACAAAGCGTCTTCCTAGACATGTCTTTATGGATATAAAGCTTATACATGCCCTTATCACTAGTAAAAAAAATCAGCTTCTTTGCTCGAGCCGTAAGGGAGATATTCAGTTTTTTTTCGGATGGGTGACTTTTGGGCTATAAACAGGGTGGCCCAAAAGTCAGTTTGCCAAAATAAAAATTGAATACCTCCATTACGGCTGAAGCAAACTAGGTGAAATTTTTACCAATAATAGAGGCATGTTCAAGCTTCATATCCATAAAGACATGCCTAGATAGATCATCTGTTAAGTGTACTGCTTTTTTTTTCTATCTGTGAAAAAGTAAATTTTTCTTGTTGAGGGCAATAGTGATACTTAACAAAGGGTCTCCTTGGACATGTCTTTATGGATATAAACTTGGTACATGCCTCTATCACTGGTAAAAAAATCAGCACGTTTGCTGGAGCCGTAATGGAGATATTCGAATTTCTTATCGCACAGTTATTTATGGACCACCCTGTATATATAAACAATCAGCTTCTTGTTTGTTAACTGATAGAAACATGCCTTTCTGAAATGATCGCCATTGTCGAGTTATTCAAATAAGTCATAAATTTAATGACAGTCTCTTCTATTTTGTTCTTCAAATTGAATTTTCTTTAACAAATAAATATCCACGAACTTCTAAGCGCATTAATGTACTTATATATATTTCATAGTACCCTCCCCCCATATTAGAAGCCCCCCGGGGCTTCAATTAGGTCTTGCAAACTTTGGTCAGATTTTGCTGAATAGATCCTTTAAAGGGGGCTTCTAATATGGGAGGGGCTTCTATTACGGGGAGGGGCTTAGTTGGAATTACTCCTGTGTAATTCTTCGTACTTCTCGTTACTTCTCTGTA